TGTAATGCATCATAAAAAAAGGAGAGAGAGAATCAAAAAAGGCCAGGTGCAGTGGCTCACATCAATCCGAGCTACTCTGGAGGCAGAAATCAGGAGGATTGTAGTTCAAGGCCAGTCAGGGCAAAAAGATCTCTAGACTTCATCTCAACCAATAAAAGCTGGGCATGGTGGTGTGTTACTGTCATCCACTATGTGGGAACTATAAATTGCTTTCTACTTACACAGGGCTGGTGGAGTAGCTCAAGTGGTAACAGCACCTGCTTAGCAAGCATGCTGCCCTGAATTCAAATCCCAGTGCCGTCTATATATACGTATATATATAAAATATTTTTATATACATATAAAATATTTATATATATATAAATTTTTTAAAGACAAAAAAAGGATCACAGTCCAGACCTGCCTGGGCATAAATGCAATACCCTATTTGAAAAATGATTAAAGCAAAGAAAGGGTTCGGGGCATGACTCGAGTAGTAGAGCTCCTGATTAGCAAGTCAAAGGCTCTGAATTCAAATGCCAGTACCAATGAGGGAGGGGGAAGGAGGGAGAGGGATGAGGGGAGAGATAAAGAGAGAGATGGGGGGGTGGCACAGGCAAAGGGAGAGGGGGAGAGACTCAAGAAAGAAAACAGAAGAAAAATTTTAAGCAATAATAACTGAGAATTCTCCAAAATTAATGTCAGACATAAAACCACAGAAACAGGAAGCTCAGAGAATAATAACTGGCAGGATGATTTCCAGAAACTATAGGTAGGTATATTACATGCAAACTGCAGAAAATAAAAGATAAAGAAAAACTCTTGAGCAAAGAAATTAATGATATCTGATTTCTTCTTAGAAACCATGCAAGTAATAAATGGAATGAAATACTAAAAATGTTGAGAGAAAGAAAAAAAATGAACCTAGAATTCTGTACTCTTCAAAAATGAAGGACACATGGTGGCACAAATCTGCAACAGTAGCACTGAGGAGACAGAGGCAGGAGGAATGAAGAGTTTAAGAGCAGCCTGCACTACATTGTGAGACCCTGTCTTAAAAGGGTGCGGGGGAGGAAACAGTGAAGAAGAAACAGACTCTCAGATAATCAAAAAATGGGGGAATTTGTTGATTTGTTGCCATTAGACCTGCTTTGGAGGAAAAGTTAAAAGAAGTTCTTCATAAATAAGAAAACTTATATAGGTCAAAAACTCAAAAGAAGAAAATTTTAAAAGGAGTAAGTGAAGGTAAGTAAAACTTTTATTATTCTCACTCTTAATTCATCTGACAATATAACAACTTACTGAAAATAATAATTGCAACAATGTATTTGGTTATATATGCTTACATGTCAGTGAATTTAAAGTCAGCAATGACTCAAATGATGGGAGGGAAGAATTAGGAATACTTTTTTGCTACTTGTGAAGTGGTATAGTGTTATTTAAAACTGGAGTTAGATTAGTTAGAAATGTATATTCCAAAGTCTGGAAACCACAAAAATAATTTTTAAAATTATACCTTATATGGTAAGAATGGAGAGAAAATGGAATTAAAGAAAATAATTTTTAAAATATGAAGAAATAATCATTTGTATATAGTATAATGATATAAACAAAAATTACAAATCTCTTTCAGTACAGGAATGAATAAATTATAGGACTCAGTTTTAATCTATATATACTAACATAAAAAGAACATTAAGATGTGTTAAATGAAAACTATGTTGCAACTTGTTCTATACAATTATTTTAAATGCTGATAGAGAATATAAACAGACAGACAGATAGCCTGCCCATCTCTCAAGAGACACATATCAAAGTGTTAGCAATGTTTTTTTCTGGCAAGAGGAATGAGAGTCAGATGAACGAGAACGGCATTTGACTTAATTATTATGCAGAATTCTTCAGTATATATATATACACACACATTGCAATGAGAATCTCTAGATAGAGTATTTATACAATTTTTAAAGGGAAAAAAACAAAAGCAAAAAAGGAAAAGTATAACAGTTTCCAAAAAGCCAACAAAGTGGCTGCTAGCTTACTTTAATCATTGCCTGAAATATTTCAACCAAAACACTTCAGATAGGAATGTGACACCAATATTAACAATTTTAATTTAGAATTTTAGTTAATGACTAATTTGATTTATAACTGTACTTTTACAAGTAGTTTAGATTGGCCTGTGAATGAATCCAAGGATCAAATAAAATTTTGGAGCTCAAAGGAATTCTAGACATCAGATCTAGATCTGCCCCCTTATTTTATACACGAGGAAACAGAGAAAAAAAGACACTTGTCTGTTTTAGACAGATAACTAATTACACCACCACTGACTTAAAAGAGAAAAGAACTAACTTTGTTGTCCCTAGTCCAGGCCTCTAATAAATCCAATTTAACTTGTATTTTGTAAATATCATCTGTGCTGCCCAAGTGGTTCCTGAAATTTTATTTTCCAATTCCATTTCCAAATCATCTGATTAAAAAGGATTTCATATTTATGTACTGAGTCCAGTAGAGAACTGACAGAATTTAGCATGTTCAAGAAATTAAGAAACTTCCTCTCATCTAATGTCCTTACTCTTAAAAAAATAAAATAAAATACAACAAAACAGTCTAAGTAACTTCCTACATTCCATAATTCAGACACTGAAAGTGAGAGTAGAAACCAGTTGTTCTGGCTCCAAGGACACTTTTGTTTTTACATTCATTTTACAGAATGAAAGCTCACTGGCTAACAAGATGACTTTGGGCATGTCACTGAACTCTTGGAAAATAAGTTTCTCTAACTATTTAATGAACAGGGTGAATTACCTGAGTTCTAAAGTTTCTTGCTCCTTTCCATGGGTCTAGAATTTTAAAGATGTATAAAAAAGTATAAATAAAGGTACAAAAGTGCTTGTACACAACTGAGGCCAATAGGAAAAGGGGAACAGGTACTAGAGAAAAGGTTAGATCAAAAAGAATTAACCTAGAAGGTAACACACACGCACAGGAAATCAATGTGAGTCAATGCCCTGTATAGCTATCCTTATCTCAACCAGCAAAACCCCTTGTTCCTTTCTATTATTGCTTATACTCTCTCTACAACAAAATTAGAGATAAGGGCAAAATAGTTTCTGCTGGGTATTGAGGGGTGGGAGTGGGAGGGGGTGGAGTGGGTGGTAAGGGAGGGGGTGGGGGCAGGGGGGAGAAATGAACCAAGCCTTGTATGCACATATGAATAATAAAAGAAAAATGAAAAAAAAAAAGTGCTTGTACAAAATTCATTCATAGTACAGTGTCTTTATTATAGAGTTATTTACTGTTTTTCCTTTAGAAAAAACCACACCTTCTCCAAAGAGGTTGAAAAAAAAAAAATCCTTCCAAGTATGTACTTTCATGAACAATCATTCAGCCTTAGAGTATCACAGAGCATTTCCTTTTATCTTATATTTAAGAATTTATTTTTTATATTTAATATTATATTTATATTTATACTTTATATAAATTTATAATATTTTATATATTATATTTAAGAATTCTTTATGTTAATCTCCACCTGTTTAATCTACTGTATGGTTTCTTTTCCCAGACTAGAAGAGCTATATTCACCTTGTCTCAAAATCTACATCCATCAGTATTTCCACTGATGCTTTCATCAAATATCACCATTTCTTCTCCATCCCCAGATTGTTGCCAACCCCTAATGTCTCTCACTTACAGAGAAGGTTTGGGGTAACCCTGGATCTATCTTATAAACCCTTATTGAAAACACCATTTTATTTGTCAACTCAAGAATATATAGTGGAACACATCTGCAATCCCCGCACTCAGGAGGCTGAGGAAGGAACATCTTGAGTTTGAGTCCAGCCTGGGCTACATAGGGAGACCTTGTCTCTAAATAAATTAAATAAATAAAAGAGTCATTATTTCCCTAACTAAAAAAAAAAAGAATATATATGTTCTCTCATTTCTATCAAATTGAGGATGCACTCCTTCCCTGAGGTGTTAAACCCCTGTAAGACCTGACCTCTCATGGCCTCATACGGCTGATCCCACTTCACTGCTTCCCTCTAGGTAAGAGTAGAATGGTATCTGGCCCTTATCTGCCCTAATCCATTGCTGTATTTGTGTTCATGCTCCTCTCCTCTTTGCCCATTATGGAGAAGTTTCTGGAACCAATCCTATGAACCTCTAGTACAGAAGTCCTTTTGAGGTAATATTTCCTGACATAACTTTCATCTGTATGTACTCGCCACATAATCAGCACCTTATATCCTGTTTTAATCTCTATGTAGGAATACTCTCCCAAGATTAACCCTGTTATAATCTTTCTCCCTAACTTATTTTTAACTATGCTTTGTATTTCTTCATTAACTTCACAGAAGGGCTTGGGACGTGCTCAGTGGTACAGTGCTAGCATGCACACAGCCCTGGATTCAATTTTCAGCACCACAAGAAAACTTCATAGATTTTACGTAGTAGTTACCTCAATGTTAAATGATATGGAACGCAGACTGGGTTAAATGGCTTTAATCCAAAGTAAAAGCTAAGTACAGAGCCATGGATAAGCTATGTAAAACCTTTCCATGGATTAGAAAAGCAACTGCACATCTAGTGAGACCATTTGGAAAATGGTGTCCAGGCAGGATTTCATCTCAACCCTGTGCAACTGCACATAGCAGCAATGGATGCAGGAATACAATGCTCACTTTAACAAGGGTCCAACTATATTTCAAAATGTTTATAGGAGTTGTTCTTTGAATATTGTTTTAGAATTTTATGCTACTACATATATCACTCTAACTCCAGACAATGTCTCATAGCTTAGGCATTATCTTAGTTAGACAGCAGAGTTCATGGTATAGAAGCTGTTGTGGGAGAATTTCTATTCACAATCAATATTAACTGAAGTTTTAACTCTGTGCTCTGCCCAGGAGCTAGGTCTAGAGATACAAATGGGAAACCTGACTTGTGATGCTTACAGATCAGTGAAATACTCTATATTTAGAAGGATGTCATTTTCTTTAAGGTATACTTACTGATAAACTTGTTTTGCATAGTCTCCAACAGAGCTTGATGAGCATCTTCAGTTTGTAAAGCATGTGAACATTCTCTAGCCAGTATGGTGCGCACGAGATGCTCGCCACATCCTAGAAGTCCAAGGAAACCAACAAAGGTTGAAGAAAAGCAGTACTGAACACCTGCTTGTCTCATTAGCAGTAAAACACCCTTGTGCCTCACTTAAGTAGTTATATAGCAGAACAACTCAGCAAGGAATGAAATGACTTCTATAAGCAGTCAGGTAATTTTAGTAATGAGATTCAGTAGAAACTAAAGAAACACAACTCTCTACTCTCAAAAGGAAACCAAGAAAAATTAAAGGAAATCCTTGTTGCATAGGAATAATTTAGATATTACAGGGATGTGATTCTAAACATAGAAATTTCCTAGGGTTCTGTCTCATTCCCACTATTGGATGACTGAAAAAGACCCTGTTTTATAATTCTTTATTTACATTCAGTTGGCCTTAGTTGTCCAGTAAGTAAATGGCTACCAATGGCTGTCAGCCATTTTCTCTCTGACATCCCAAAGGGATGCCTAGGTATAAGGGACAAATCTAGGTAACCACAGACAGGCTGAATCTCCCCCTATCTGCTTTTCTCTGCAATGCCATCACATATCAACACAATAAAATGGTACTTTTCTTACTTTTGTACAGTGATTTATATAGCTTTTAGTGGTAAATGAAAGAAACCATGTAATTTAACCCTAAGATGAACTTGGACCATTCAAACACACTAAACGAGGAGGGGGTGGGGGTGGGGACTCATAAATGCTACCTAGAATCCATTATAGTTTCTACATGTTAAAAGTAGAAACTACCTGAAAAAGTAGACAGAAAGAAAATTTAATTTATAGATTGAGAAGTTCAAAAAATTTATGAAGAACCTTCCTTTTTCTCTAGAAATACAAAATTTTAAAAGGCTACTTTGAAAAACACTGGAAGAACAAGACTTACAAAAAAAACCACTAAATGTCACTTGAAATGCTTCTTATATATAAATCAACTTCACAAATTAAAATCCCAGAGTTGGGAGGGGGAACGGTGTTCAGGCTGCCCATGATCACCTAGATTTCTCCTCTATACCTAGGTATCCCTCTGGGATGTCAGAGGGAAAATGTCCAGACAAAAACAGTACATTTATTTCAAATAAAATTTTCTATTAAAAGTGATTCCTGGAAGATCTGGGGCCGCTCAGCCACAGGCCACTTCCAGCACTGCAGAATGTAGCTCGGGGGACCGTGGCCCTCAGTAGGGCCTACCCACTCTGCCTGTCTACCATCACAGGGAGATCTCTGCCCCCTGGGGCTGAGAGACCCCAACCTTTCCCCAAGCTGAAGCTGCAGGGTATTGAGGCACCAACGAGATGTCTTCCCACAAAGGATCTGTGGTGCCACAGGGCAATGGGGCTCCCACCAGTAACAGGGAGCCTGACACGGTGGAACTGGCTGCGCTGGGACCCCTGCTGGAAGAGAAGGGCAAGCAGGTAACTGCCAACCCAAGCAAAACTGAAGAAGAGCTAACATGCCCAGTGCCCCAGGAAGAAGAGGAATAGGTGCGGGTACTGACGCCTCTCCTGCAGGCCTAACATGCCATGGAGAAGTTGGAGGAGTTCATGTATAGGTCTGGGAGGGACACTGGAGAGTCATCCCATATGATGTGCTTTCTGACTGGCTGAAAGACAATAACTACCTGCTACACGGGCCATAGACCACCTATGCCCTCCTTTCGGGCTTGCTTCAAGATCTTCTGCAGCATCCACACAGAAACTGGCAAAATCTGGACCCATCTACTTGGTTTTGTGCTGTTTCTCTTTTTGGGAATCTTGACCATGCTCAGATTTAGTATGTACTTCATGGCTCCTCTACAAGAGAAGGTGGTTTTTGGAATGTTCTTTTTGGATACAGTGCTCTGTCTCAGCTTGTCCTGGTTCTTCCACACAGTCTATTGTTATTCAGAGAAAGTCTCCGGGACTTTTTTCAAACTGGATTATTCAGGGATTGCTCTACTGATTATGGGGAGCTTTGTTCCCTGGCTGTATGACTCCTTCTACTGCTCCCCACAGCCTCGCTCATCTACCTTTCCATTGTCTCTGTCCTGGGCATTTCTGCCATCATGACACAGTGGGATCAGTTTGCCACTCCTAAGCACAGGCAGACAAGAACAGGAGTGTTCCTGAGACTTGGCATGAGTGGGATTGTGCCACTATGCACTTTATTATCGCTCAGGGCTTTGTCAAAGCCACACAGTGGGCCAGATGGGTTGGTTCTTCCTCATGGCTGTGATGTACATCACTGGAGCCTGGCCTTTATGCTGCTCTGATTTCTGAGTGCTTCTTTCCTGGAAAATTTGACACATGGTTCCAGTCTCATCAGATATTCCATGTCCTGGTGGTGGCAGTAGCTTTTGTCTACTTCTATGGGGTCTCCAACCTTCAGGAATTGTTATGGCCTAGAAGGTGGTTGTACTGATGACTCCCTTCTCTGAGCCTTCCCACCTGAGAGGTGGAGGAGGAACTTCCCAAGTGCTTTTAAAAATAACTTCTTTGAAATGGTCTCTAAACTGAAGAGAATACCCACAGAGTGGGAGAAAATATTTGCCAACTATACATCAGACAAAGGACTGATAACCAGAAATATATAGGGAACTTAAAAAACTAAATTCTCCCAAAACTGATGAACCAATAAAGAAATGGGCAAGTGAACTAACAAGAACTTTCTCAAAAGAAGAAATTCAAATGGCCAAAAAACACATGAAAAAATGCTCACCATCTCTAGCAATAAAGGAAATGCAAATTAAAACCATGCTAAGATTCTACCTCACCCCTGTTAGAATAGCCATCATTAGCAACACCACCAACAACAGGTGTTGGCGAGGATGCGGGGAAAAAGGAACCCTCTTATACTGTTGGTGGGAATGTAAACTAGTACAATCACTCTGGAAAAAAATTTGGAGGCTACTTAAAAAGCTAAACATTGATCTTCCATTTGATCCAGCAATACCACTCTTAGGGATATACCCAAAAGACTGTGACACAGGTTACTCCAGAGCACCTGCACACCCATGTTTATTGCAGCACTATTCACAATAGCCAAGTTATGGAAACAGCCAAGATGCCCCACCACTGACGAATGGATTAAGAAAATGTTGTATCTATACACAATGGAATTTTATGCAGCCATGAAGAAGAACGAAATGTTATCATTCGCTGGCAAATGGGTGGAATTGGAGAACATCATTCTGAGTGAGGTTAGCCTGGCCCAAAACACCAAAAATCGTATGTTCTCCCTCATATGTGGACATTAGATCAAGGGCAAACACAACAAGAGGATTGGACTTTGAGCACATGATAAAAGCAAGAGCACACAAGGGAGGGGTGAGGATAGGTAAGACACCTAAAAACCTAGCTAGCATTTGTTGCCCTTAATGCAGAGAAACTAAAGCAGATACCTTAAAAGCAACTGAGGCCAATAGGAAAAGGGGACCAGGAACTAGAGAAAAGGTTAGATCAAAAAGAATTAACCTAGAAGGTAACACACACGCACAGGAAATTAATGAGTCAACTCACTGTATAGCTATCCTTATCTCAACCAGCAAAAACCCTTGTTCCTTCCTATTATTGCTTATACTCTCTGTACAACAAAATTAGAAATAAGGGCAAAATAGTTTCTGCTGGGTATTGAGGGGGTGGGGGGCAGAGGGAGGGGGCGGAGTGGGTGGTAAGTGAGGGGGTGGGGGCATGGGGGAGAAATGATCCAAGCTTTGTATGCACATATGAATTATAAAAGGAAAAAATAAATAAATAAATAAATAAAATAAAAATAACTTCTTTGCTGAATTGAGAGGAAGAGTCTGAGGTGTTTGTTTCTAGAAGAAACCTCTTAGAGAATTCAGTACGAGTCAAGTTTCAGCTCACTTTCACAGCCACTGGGCAATAAACTTTCCATTTCTATTCCCCAGCTGGGGAGGGTGAAATGGCCAACACAGTCACCCCCCATCCTTAGCAGTCACCCACCTCAGCAAGCCAACTTTTAGTCCCTTATAGAGACAGGACTTTGAAGCTCATGTTGAGATTTTACCCACTCCTCAAACCATTTTGGGAAAAAATTATGGACTGGGACTCTTCAGAAATTGTTTTTCTGGAAGAAAATGTCCCTCTCTTACCCTCATCCTTACTTTGTAACCTGGCTTATAACAGGCCATCCATTTTTGTAGCACACTTTTCAAAAGTAATTATACCTGGTCCCACCTTTCTCAGGCCTAGAGCTGCTTTCACAGCAGGAGAACAAAGCCCCGACTTTTACATGACCGGCTAGTCATGGAAGTGCATCCAGGCCTCAGATAACTTGAGCTTTAGTTTTGTTTTTGTTTTTTTCTTGGCAGAGCAATGTAAAATTAAAATGGGGAAAGATATTTAATATTTAATACTAAGCTTTAAAAAGAAACCCGCTATCACTGCTATGTATCTTGATGCAAAGACTATGATGATGATGAAAGAAAGTACAGGAAAAAAAAAGATTCCTGCCCAAAAGTATTAAGTTAGTTATTAGAAAGTCCTCCATTAATTCACATAACAAGGAAAGGGTATCAAATGATCTAAGCACCCAAAGAGCCTAAAAGAGAAGTATGTCTCAACTCTACTCTCAAAAAGATCACAGCAAAAGAAAATCTATCTCCAGGATACATTCAGATTTCCCAACAAGATCAAAGATAATGTAACATTTTTCCAAATCACTGATCTTACACATATGCGTGCACGCGTGCACGCACACGCACACACACACAGACACACACACACACACACACACACACACACACACTATGATAATAAGTGAGGAAGGAAGGTTCTTAGCATTCAAAAAGAAATGAGGATTAAGATAGCTAAGTGAAACAACCTAATAATGGCCTTTTCCCCCCCAGTGCTGAGGATCAAACACAGAGCCTCACACATACTAGGCAAGCACTCTACCACTAAGCTATACCTCTAATCTCCTACAAATTCTTAAGTTCATAAAATTAAAACAAACACAAACTGATATGCTGAATTCTCTATTTAGGTAGTATTATTGTGATGGGCATTATTTACTA